TCCTACAATCGGTTGATATATCGTATATTTAACCTTTTCACTCTCGATCACTGACATATCCTTAACGTTGCAAGGTCATTCAAAGTAATATGTTACTGTGACACTGCCCAAATACTCGCACCCCGCTGCACGCATCATAATTGCTGCCCTCTTGCACTACGATTGCAAAGCCTATTCGTAAGGCATGTACTGCATGTAATATGGCTTAAAGAACCAACGTTACAGGATAATTTGTTTTATTTTTCTGCCCAGACCGTGTGTTAAGTCTACGTTTATTTCTCGTAGATTCTAGTTTAGTTTTCGTACGACGTAGTTAGTTTAGGCTTCTTATCGTTAGTACAGATGCTGCCTAATACGATTGAGAAACGTCTTATTAAAACTTGCAGTTCGGTTAACAAAGTTATATTTCCACCCCAGGCTTGAAAGCAAGTGAGTCAGTTATAAGTAACCGGACGTTTACCTCTTAAGCGATGAAATGTTTAGACTTGATCTTTGCTTTTAACCTGACTGTGTAGCGTAGTTTTTGGATTTGGCGCTTGGTGATTTTCTTAACTAACAAGGAAAAGCTTGCACAAATGAATTTAATGGTTCTGCTGCGACGATTCCAATGGCCAAGTTCGCGTATAGCACGGTCTGGCAGGCCTGCCGAACAACCTCGTGGTGCCAGCTGGGTGGTTCGGGTTTTTCTCGTCCTAGCAAATGGTTCAGCGGCAGTGTTCCAGGACGTGGTGGGTTTTCGCCTGGCAAGCGTTCTCCCTATAAAAAAGTCACAAATGTCTGTTTAACAACACTTCGACGTAGCGGATGTCACTCGTCACGAAATCAAGTCACTGCCCCTTTCCCTTCCCTGAGAGGCATTGTATTTCAACGGTGCATTGGGCCCCTGGTCCCTTACGGACCGAAAGGCGTAGGATCAATCTATCTGGTCACCGGCTCCCAACGGGTTGCGACGTCCTCACATCGCCCTCCTGTGTTGTAGGTTAGACCTTTGATCAAAGACTCAGAGTAGGGCCCCCTAAGACAACCCTCCACTTCGGCCTGAGCAACTGGGTAGTATCACGCACAGTGACGAATCATTGACCACACTGTTTACTGCTGCTCTTGTTATGCCTACCTTTTATGCTAACTGCTCCACCTCCACTCACAGATCACCCCACCTCCCGTCCTTCACTCACACGTACTATTATGCCTTCTTCGGTCACCGTCACAAACGACCCACCTCTTGCAACTTTTGGAAGTAACAGCCAAACTCCCGGTTTTCAATGTCCTGCGATCGCAAACGCCTCTCACTCCAACGAAGCTACAGCTCTTCTTCGACCTGGTTCTCCATTCATCCTCGTAGCGTTTAAAGTTCGAACTTCGATGCAGATCGGAGGACAAGCATGTCTAGCCCGTACTCTTGAAACGCTTTCGGTAGACTTCTTTCTTATCAGGGACCAGATTACAAGACACTAGCGCCGTCATCAGAATGGCCTCTCCGGTAAACCCTGACGCTAAATACCACTTGCGGATTTCCGGAGACCCAGAACTTACCGCCATTGGCCAAGCTGGTGTTGGGGTTGTATTAAGTGCCAGGGCTGAATCAGCTCTGCTTGACTGGATCCCAGTCAACAGTCGGTTATGTGCAATCAGACTGCGAGGTTCATGCAATGTAAGCAGGCGTCGAGACGTTAAGCGTCCCTTGTTTGTCGTCTCCGCCTACCCCCCCCCCTACAGCCCGGATGCGGTCAAGGATAGCTTTTGCCAGCAGCTACATGAATTTCTGCGTTCCTCCAAAAGGACTGATATAGTCATTCTTGCCGGGGACTTTGACGCGCTGGTTGACCACCAAGCGAGCACCACCTTGGGGGTAGTTTTGATCTCGGTAGAAGTTGATCAGACAATGGAGACAGACTGCTTGCTCTTTGCTATGACAATCGCTTCTATCTTTCGAGCACTAGTTTTCGGTACTCGAGGAGATACACTGCTATCTGGCGCCCACCCTCACAAACGCAAGAGTGCTCCAAGCTTGACAGCATAGCAATCAGCTACAGATGGTGTGGAAGCGAAACAGGGTGCCATCGTACTACTCAACTTATCTTGACCCCGATCACGCATTGGTTCGTGCTAAGATTTGCATGCGTTTCGGAGGATAACCCAAGTGCGCACACTACTCACCGGACGTCGCAAATCTACAAAACCCTGCGATTTTAACCAGGTACCAAGCCTCACTGTCAACCTTACTTGGCTCAACTACTGACGGTGACCTCGATTCGCAGTGGGCGCATATCAAAGACACTTTAGTTTCCGCCAGTGTCGACACTTGTGGAGTTTCCCGTCACTCACTGAAGCATTGGATTTCCACCGTCTCCTTGTTGCTGATGGACAAACGCCGCTTACTCCCGTCGGATTCCAGACACAGTGAAGAACGCCAATTCCTTGATCGAGAGTTGCGCAGAAGTCTGCAAATGGACCGCGAAGCTTGATGGGGTAAACGTGCTAGGGAGATGGAGCTTAATAGTCTCCGGTAATACCAGCAAACTTTTCCATCTCATTCAAGTCACCAAGGGGTTCGATCTGATATAAGGGAAACAATATGCGAAGAGGACGGCACTTTAATCACCAACCTTCAACGATGGTTGGAGCGATGGGCTTAACATTTTGGCTCGCAGTTTTGTTGGCCCTCAGCTCCATCTGCTACCACTGGCGCTGGGGCCGAGTGGTCTACTCCCACAGATCCTCCCTCTTGCCAGGAGCTCGAGCAGGAGCTCCGGCACAGGAAGCGTTATAAAACCATCGGCCCTGATGGTCTTCCTCCAGTTCTATTTAAAAATGGTGGCGCTTCGATGGTTCGAGAACTCACCGCTTTGTTCTCGAAAGTTTGGTCGAAAGAGAAAGTTCCATCATCTTGGAGTGAACCGATAGTCGTCCCCATCTTCAAAAAGGGCCTGCGCACAATCTGCTCCAACTACAGAGGCATAAGCTTAGTCCCCGTCGTTTGCAAGCTGCTGGTGTCCATCATACTTCGTAGACTATCCCCAACGCGCGAATCGTTGCAACGAGAAGAACAAGCTGGGTTTCGTCCTGGTCGCAGATGCATCGATTAAATCTTCACATTCCTCGAGCTCCGCCATGTGTATCAGAGGCCAACGATTGCTGTGTTCCTGGATATCCGTGCAGTCTTCGATTCTGTCTATCGGACGGTACTGTGGCACTGTCTAATGAGGAATGGTGTCCCCGAGAAGTTCGTCTCCATGCTGCGCGCTCTCCCTACTCCGACCGCGGGCAGGGTTAGAGCTTTTGGCAAGCCTTCACCTTTTTTGATCTCCAATGTAGTTCGACAAGAATGCCTTATCTCTCCGTTCCTATTCAACTTTGCCATTGAGGATGTCCTGAAGAACGCTCTGGGCGATTCGTTGAACGCTAGCGTTGAGCTCCTCCCAGGTGGTCGAGTTGTTGATTTGGATTATGCTAATGATATCGTCTTGCTGGGTGACGATCCACATGTCGTCCAACTTGCACTAAACCGCTTGGCGATTGAAGCATCAAAGTATGGTATGTACCTTTTGCCATCCAAATGCAAGGCTCTCTTCCAAGACTGGCAGGTGCCTCTGCCTGCACTCACTCTTGGTGGTGAAACACTAGAGGTTGTGGAGAGCATTGTCTACGTGGGAAGTTGCATCACTGCTGGCGGGGCTGTTGGAGACGAGAATTCGATGCGCATCTCGAGAGCACGCCTCATTTTTTCTAGGCTGAGGCACTTGTGATGTCGCTATGACATTCGTATCTCCATCAAAGGGCAGGTCTATTGTGCAACTGTTCGTGCTGTACTGTTGTACGGATGCGAGACCTGGCCCATTCGTAGAGATGACTTGCGCAGGCTGTCGGTCTTCGAGTGTTGCTGTCTGCGGTCCATTGCCCGTGTGTGGTGGCGGCATCACGTAAGCAATGTGGAAGTTAGACAGCGTGTTTTGAGACGTGGAAGCGGCTCGCTCGAGGAGCTCGTCTCACTGCATCAACTGCGTTGATTGAGACACGTATTGCGCATGCCTGTCCAGCGTTGCCCGCGTCGTACGTTGTTTGCGGTTGTTTAACAGGGTTGGAAGAGACGGTTTGGTGGACAGCCTGCAACTTAGATAAGCCGCAAGAATAAGTTGACGAAACAGTTGGCCTCAGCCGGTTGTCATCATCTACCTGGTTGGGATCCGAGAGATGCGGATACTTGCTGGTTGAAGACCTTGGAAGCCATGGCTCAAGATCGATGTCAATGGCGGATGTGTGCATCGGTGTCCCCTCTTTCTCCCTCTGAAGAAACAAACTAAAAAATTTCAAAAACTAAGTGGTAAACTGGACAAATAAAGCTTTTGTTGTTGTTCTTTTTTATTATTCATACTGCTTTTCTATTCAGGCATGATTCCGATGGCACATTATCTGTGCGAGATATGGGGTATGTGGTTGAAGCTGTGGATGGTGCAGCGCAAGCCACCCATGGTCCCTCTGTAGGCGGAGGCGTCCTGTGGCTTGCCACAGTGACAGGCAAATCCGAAACCGGATGTCGCCAACCATATATATATCAGGGTCTGTATCGATGATCTGTTTGTTATCGTGGTTGTTTCGGTAGCACTACTGCGTTTGGCCCGCGGATATTTTGTTGATTATCTCCACTTTTGGCATCTTTCCCTAATAGGAACGCTCCTCTAAATGAGAATGTTGTTCGCAACGACCTAGTGTGGTCAGTTGTCACGTTCAGAATTCGACACAACCGACTTCCACGTCAGTTGTCAGCAGTGGTTATTTAGAAATGCAACAAGGAACGCTTGGATCAGACAGCCTGAATACGCTACATGTGATTCGTCCAGCAGCAGGCCGACATCTGGAAGATATCGCTTGCTTTACTCAAACGATGCCACAGAATGGACTTTGGGCCATCATAGTTTGTGTCCATTGTGCTTTCTGTGATACTGTGAGCCGTCCGAAATCATTCTCGTGTTTACAGCAATCAAATGAATTCGGTCAACGATGTGCGTACAACAGTCCTTCAAAACAGTTTGTATCAGTTGTTCTTCATTAGAACAATCAATCTAGCAACTGCCTGGTGACACCGACCAAAATCAATAGATGCTAAGAAATAGCGGAATCACGCCCATAGTACTTAGATTGTCATGGAGACATTAAAGTACAAAACTCACTCTCCGAGAAGTACTTTTCAGAGTTCAATGGTGACTACGTATTGCAAATGAATGAATGTTCGATTTCTTCGGCGTAATTTTTACAGCACACCGCATAGCGTGTGTGCGAATGCGTCCACTAGCGTGGATGTCTTGTGGTTTATGGTGTAAAGGTGAATTCACAAGGGTACATGCGAGACGATCGGACCACTGATGAAGTCAAGAAGCCAGTATTGACACGTAAACAACAGCGTTGATGGACGACGGATGAAATACGAGGAAATGCATATGAAGTCAAGCGAATGGGATCGAAGCATATGGCCTATGAAGTGCGGTAAGCAGACGCAACACAAAAGTCATCGTGATAAGAGATGCGGCTGCCCGAAATCGATTTGTTGATGCGCAAGTCAGGTGGTTGGCGGTTACAATGCGCCCGTATGCAATGCCTGAGACCTGCAGTGCAAAAGAGGAAGGGATAAGGGGGGGTGCTATGTGTGGAACAAATGGAGACAGAGCAACGCATGGCACATTGAAGAAAGTCAGGTAGCCAATACGAGCCGGACTGTCGACTGAAGAAATAAAAACGTTGGCACTTTGAAACCGCAAGGCACATGAACAAGAGTGCGGCGTTTCACTCCGATTTAGTGGCGCTTGTGTAGCCATTGCGTCAGAATTAAGGGTAGTTTTACCGTCCACGTACCCCAAGTTTATTGAGTGATCAATTAGTGTAATTCTCACTCAAGAAGAAAGAAAAACGATTAGCGGCGAGTCCCGCCACAATTGTCACGGGCCACTCACAGAAACGCCTCTGTAAACGTTCATGGTACTATGGATCGCAGCACACAGACAACAAAACAGTGATTAGCTCGACAGTACATTGTTCGAAGACGGATAACACCACAATCGATCACGGTTGATCAATTTAAAGACAGCCCTTTGGTTAGGAAAGAACATCACAGTGGGTCGTCCATGGGTTTAGCATTATCTAAGCAACTAACCATCAATGAGACGTTTGCGAAGCAGAAAGCAGCTTGGCTTCATTGGTTCAACATTCCCGAAAACAGTGAGTCACTATGGGGCGATGCTCACAAGAATGGAAACAGCCCCGCTGATCTTTGTACAATACCCATATTCTTGAAAAGAAAAAAAGGACATGACGTTGAGTTAGTAGGAGTAGGTCGCACATCTTCGAAGACTGCTGCCAGATAGCTTATTTGGCTAAAGAGGCATGTGATTAGCGCATCGCGTCAAGATCCAGTCATGCTGTAAGTATGTTGCCAAAAGACCAACTTGGTCGGGGCACCAAGGGCATCGATCGCATCTGCGTTAAACTCACTTTAATACGTGATGTGGCGGGTCACGTTCACTAAACTTCTAAAAGGTTAGTCTGAAGTGGGGACATCGCCTATCACGTCTCCATGCGAATGGCCGTCACGACTGACTGGTCTGTTCTGTCACTAAGCCAGTGTATACGCCGAGCAGTGAGCTGCTAATAAGGTATGTAATGTTATGCTTTAGACAACAGAAGTTACCGAACGGGAGGAAGTAAGACGAATCAGGGTTGAGCCAATCAAACATATCAGTGACCTTCAAGTCCCAAACGACACACAAGCAAATATTGGAAAGAGGTCAAAATAAATAAGTTAACGAAGGAACGAAACAAATATTTCAAATCCTCAGTAATTTCATGGTAGTACTTGATCAATAAACTCCTAGCTAGAGTAATTCCAAGCTCTAGTGGAGTTATGAACGTGGATAGTAACAAATGACCTTCAGGATCAAGATCGTCGGACACGTATAAACCCCCATGTTTACGAGTAGCAGGAGCGCCTTCTACTGAAAAATCGGTAAGACGACAAACTACCATTTGGATTCCACAAGCAGCTAATGCTCTAAAAAGCTTACCACAGACGACGACTAAGCAATCGTTGACTGGCACCAACAGAAATTGACGCGAGACGGCGAGTGGACAACATAATTCTGCTGGAGACAGATGGTCCCCACTCGCCGTTGCCAACAGGTGATGAACGTATAAATTGATCGGCAAAACAGGTCGCGACAATCGTCATACATATTAGGAATGGTTTTTATAACCAGCTAACAGGCTTGTAATGTAAGCCCAATGCAATCAGATGTAGTGTGAAGAGAGAAACGTGCCACAATCAGTGATAAAATGGTGTTCACTTTTGATCGAAACGGAAGCATCACGCACTGTATGACACCAGAGTGGAGCGAATTGATGAGGCATACAAATGTAATAACTAGAACGAATTGAACGGTAAGCAGTTTAAACGCAAGCAGCGGACGAGGCGCAAGATATCAAGATGAAACTCAGGTGGTTGAATGGGTGTGATCCATCCACAACCGCTGTTTCGGATGACGTCGGATTACCTTTAAGCGTTGTATGAGTGGAAAGAACCTCAAAAATTTTGTTGCACAGGGTGAAACAGTCGAAAATGCTGAGAGTTATTCGTCGTCAAACACTCACTCCTAAAACAAACAGTGATCAAAGTCAGTGCGAGTCCACATGCAAGAATAGATTGTCAAAGAACAACATAACAGACTCACCAAAAGGCGGTGGATCAACGAATTTTACACTCGCTGTTCAATCGGACCAGCTGAAGCTGGAAAATGAGCTCCAACTGCCCCAGCGACCAAGTCCCCCAAAACCGCCGCCCCAACCTCCGCCGAGGCCCCAGCCTCCGAACATTCTGCTTGCCAGGTAGCCACCGGCTAAACCAGAGGCCAAACCTAAAATATAGAAGGTATAAAAGATGGGAATGAGACCTTCTGTGTTGGTACTAACGAGGAGAAGGGCAAATCAAGTCAAACGGCTAATAAAGGCCATGCGCATTGACCGCTTAATGAAGCTGGCCTTCAAACGCCAGTATTTTCCAACGCATGATCGCTTGGTCTAATTTTATACATAATAGGTGGGTCAAATAAGACCTAGTGGCCACGGACTAGGTTGCTATAGTGATGGCTTGCGTCTTCATAATCGAAGCATTAAGTCAAAATCGTGTGTACTAGACGGGACAAGCTGGTGCAAACGAAAGCTGCATGAGGTTTCAAACAGTTTTAGACAAGGACAACATCACGTAAGGGTGCACAAAGGATCAAATGTTGTAAAATAAGTGTGGTATAATCAGGTAGGGTGTGGAAGTGGAAGCATGCCGAGCTTAGGCACAGTGTGTCGTTCACCCACAGCGTGCTAAATCGATGAGGTATGTGAACTTAGTCGCAGACGCTTACATATGCAGACAAGCACCATATTGAGCTAAGCCGGAGAGATGAACTGAATTCGCAAATGATCGGTGATTCAGTTCAGGTTACATTTGCCGCCAAAATAATCATGATAGACAGTTGATGATAACTGAGTAGAAATGACCAGAAATGCAGATAAAGTCAAACTTGTCTAACGCGACCCCTCAAGGGACCGACAAAAAGTGGTTGCCTTGGACAGGTGGTCGTCATGGATGGTTGGCGTCATCCGGTTTCGGATTTGCCTGTCACTGTGGCCAGCCACAGGTCGCCATGGATAAGTTCGTGCACACGGACATTAGTCATAAAAAAATGTTAGGTATGTTTTTGGCTTGTCGCCAAGGCAGATAAAACAGAGGAGACAGTCCGAGTTGGAGAAACGAATGTAAGAGAGCCACAAACTAAGAAAGCATGTCATAACATCCGCAATAGGGTGTCCAGCCACCGAGCTGTATGGCCCCGAAGACCCAAAAGGCACGCACCAAATCGACTCAATGCGTCGGTGGGTGGGTTTATGTTCTCTTCGCTATGTCAATAAGTGGTAACCTCAAATTTTCACTCAACTATACGTAGCATTGGTGGCAAATCAATATGCAGCCAAAGCGACCGGCCCGTAGGCATGCGAAAGGGCACATGACAGAGTCAACAGCCACTCTGTGTTTCCGCTGACAGTACGGATAACCGATGCAGCCAATCTGGTCACGATACAGCCACTTCCCAAATCAGAAAACAAAGGCCTCTAGTGGAATTTGTATTTGGCACCCCGGAGACAGATTGTACAGCCAGAACATTGGGTCGAAATAAATAGTGCACGAGAGGAAAGACGTAATTGAAAGATCCTGACTACAGCAACTACTAGATGCGCAAAAACTCGCTTGTTGGCTGAGCAAGTAGTGTGTTTACTGGAGGGCTTCAAGGTACGTCATTCTGATTGGTTCACTTCAAGGGAAAACGATGCCACTGGCTTACTCTCATTGGCTAGCTAATCGGTTACAGGCGGCATATAACCAATCTTCTCCGGGCTGCTCCAGACAAAGAGGGTTAGCTTTGATGGTTTCTATGGACGGGCTCAGGTAAAACTAATGAAGCCTCCGTATTACTCACCCGGTTATCGCGGATTCAGTGTAAACGATGTACGAAACAAGATTCTCGTTATGTTGCAACAACGGGAAGACTTATATGCAGTCTGAATGGGTTAATAAGTGATTTGTGCGACAGCACGATAAGATTTCTGTATTGCATGCATAACATTTCTCAGGTGATAGACAGTTTACTGGAGGCCGCGGCAGCACGCGGAATGGAGCTAGCCGAAGAACTCAGAAACGTGCTGATCGAATACCAATTGGGGGTTGTTGGCTATAATGAAGCGATTTCTCGAGACCATAACTCAGGTTGAGATGTGATGGACATTCCACTCTCTAGAGTTCAAGCAGTGATTTCAAGACAAGAGTATTTCTGAGAAAGCAGTCCTGTGTGCAGCCAGGGAAGTATGCTAAGACCTTGGAACATTGGAGCGTCTGCGGAACTAATGAGAGGTGAACTACACTTTCGGTGTATTCTCTGGTGAAAAAGAGTGAAATGTTCTCAGTGTACAGTAGGTGGCTGCATGGACGAGCTCGCTTGATTCCAACTAGCAAGATAACCATTTATGTTCGATGAATAATAAAAAGTTTCATCTTGATCACCACCGCAATTCAGTAGGTTCTGATAATCTGTGACAGGCGACAACGACAATCATCACGTTCGAAACGAACTGATCACGTGAAGGTCCATGTCAGGGTGGAAAAAAACGAATTAGGTCTTAGAGGGCTAGATGTTCGCTACCGCGTCTGACCGAAGGCAGTCGACCTGGGCGTCTTCCATCTTCGCTGGTCAGGGAAGCTGAAGAGCCTGGACCAGTTTCTTCTGTGAGCATAAGGACGGCTGGAACAATCGAATGCATATTGCTTCAGCTGTCGCAAGCGTACGCAGGCGGTAACCTTTCGTTCGGTGCGGTGGAACCTTGTAAACTATTCGGAAAGCGCGTTTCCAATCCACTTCATGGCCGGTGTCCACAATGTGGGCCAGAATGGCGCCACTAATGGTTCCGGTGCCCCCTTGACGAAGCCAGCGAGGGCAATGTTCGTTCACGCGTTTCGATAACTGCCGCGCTGTTCGACCAATATACGTCGCGCCACAGGCGCACACGAATTGATAAATCCCCATTGATGTGGTCAGCATCGGCAGCTTGTCCTTGTTTTGTGAACGAATGAGTGGTTCCGTTGAGAACACGCACTTCAACGAGGCTGCTGGAAAGGTCGACTTTACCGCGGCCGAAAGGCTTCTGGTTAGACGCTCGGTAGCCGCGTCCCCTTTGAATGGTAAGCGAATAACTCACCGTACCATGCCGTTGCTCAGTGGCTTGTAAAACTTCTTGAACCTGTGCGACAACAGCTCGCTATCTACAGCCTTCGTGACAGCTTCCATTTCGTTGAAAGCATCAAGGATGATAACATAAATGAGAAATTAATGTTATCTTTCGATGTCGTCTCACTTTTTACAAACGTTCCATTGGTTGAGACAATCGATTACATTTGCGAATATATAGCCGAGTCAGGAATAAAAAGGTGTACACCTACGCGTGAGCTCAAGAGCCTACTGTTACGCTGCGCCTGGAATGTGCAGTTTCTATTCAACGGGAAATACTATCGGCAGAAGGACGGCGTGGCCATGGGATCCCCTCTCGGACCGCTACTAGCGGATATCTTCATGGCAGAGCTAGCGAGAACCGAAATGCAGGAGACGATAGACCTTTTTGACCGCTATCATCAATACATGGACGATATATTTGTTGTGGTGAATAAACATGTTAATCTGGAGGAAATTCTTGACCACTTCAACCGGGGGCATGCAGCAGTGCAGTTTACTTACGAGAAGGAAAGCGATAACCGGCTACCATATCTCGATGTCTTGTTAACTAGGAGACCAGACGGATCCATCCGGCGTCAGGTCTACAGAAAAACAACGTGGATAAGTCAGTACACGAATTTTACAGTTTCGTCCCCATGAGATACAAGCGCAACTTGGTTCACTGTCTTACGTCAAGAGCACGTCGAATCTGTACGGAAGACACTCTAGACGCGGAGTTAATGTTCATACAGAACACTCTACGTGAAAACGGTTATCCCGATAGATTTATCCTAAGGAACCTCCAAGAAAAACCGAAACTAGCGGCAGTGTTAACAGCGCCAAAGAAAGAGTTATTTATTCGCTTACCATTCAAAGGGGACGCGGCTACCGAGCGTCTAACCAGAAGCCTTTCGGCCGCGGTAAAGTCGACCTTTCCAGCAGCCTCGTTGAAGTGCGTGTTCTCAACGGAGCCACTCATTCGTTCACAAAACAAGGACAAGCTGCCGATGCTGACCACATCAATGGGGATTTATCAATTCGTGTGCGCCTGTGGCGCGACGTATATTGGTCGAACGGCGCGGCAGTTATCGAAACGCGTGAACGAACATTGCCCTCGCTGGCTTCGTCAAGGGGGCACCGGAACCATTAGTGGCGCCATTCTGGCCCACATTGTGGACACCGGCCATGAAGTGGATTGGAAACGCGCTTTCCGAATAGTTTACAAGGTTCCACCGCACCGAACGAAAGGTTACCGCCTGCGTACGCTTGCGACAGCTGAAGCAATATGCATTCGATTGTTCCAGCCGTCCTTATGCTCACAGAAGAAACTGGTCCAGGCTCTTCAGCTTCCCTGGCCAGCGAAGATGGAAGACGCCCAGGTCGACTGCCTTCGGTCAGACGCGGTAGCGAACATCTAGCCCTCTAAGACCTAATTCGTTTTTTTCCACTCTGACATGGACCTTCACGTGATCAATTCGTTTTGAACTAACTGGGTCGATTTCTCTTTCTAGCCTCTATATTATTGTAATGGTCTGACGATGAATCATTGAAAGCAATTGCTCACCAGATGGTCTTTTGTTCTAGAGACTTAAATGGGGATTTTCAAGTTAATTAAATCATCACGTTATCTACAGCTTGCATAATGAACACAAAACGATGAGTTCGATTATTTGTCATCATTCTGAGTGATCGACTTGCTCATTCTCATATATCTGTAGATACCAGTTTAACGGACAAACCGCGGACAGGAGCCGATGAGTCTGGATTAGCTGGATACAGTTAAATCTCTGTGATACATTCTGCGGCAGATAGGAATTTGTCGTACAGGCGGGATATAGAGGATCACAATGAGGATCGTTCTGCTTCATGGCGATGAAATTTAAACCCTAGACGGAGGATTACTGTGTCCATTGACATCACTGTGTCCCCAACAATGAGGCGCGCAAACGCATGCATGGTCTCCATAATCAGGTTAATTCGTAAAACCAGTAAACCATACTGACCAAGCTACATTCATCTTGGCAGGCCATTTACCGCCTACCGAAGGATGCCCTATTTTGTTCGAGGGTATCAATTATAGATTTTAGAAGGAGAATAGACTCGGAGATGAACGAACTACGTGCTGGCAGTCTGTCTCTTATTCCAAGTAGGTGAATCAATACCACCGATCTCATAATCGACACAGGATATTACTAAACCCAGGACACAACCAGTACCGGCTGTCCACTTGCTGCTGTCTCTCAAGGCGACACTGCATATGAAGGCCGCAAGGAGACTATCTCGCCTATACCGCTATTTCCCAACAAGACAGCTATTCGTAACGGCGGGTTGTTGGCAACATGTAAGTGTGTGATCCTGGGCGTTTTCTTCGATCTTTCAGTTTCGAACTAGGTCGTTCCTCATACCCTCTTATTCCGCGTTAGTAGTTCCATTTAAATCGTAAAACACCGAAGCATCATTGAAACGTACCGTTGTGTTATTGTGAATAGTGACGAGCCCCAAACCCGTCATACTAAGCAACTTTCGGATCATGGTACATCATGCACCGGTAATTGTTGGAAACAATGGTAATGCAGATGCGTCGATAACGCGAGAAACGGTTCTGCATATGAGGGCTAAACATGGAACTCGGGACATCAAGCAGTTAGCTGATGCAAAAGAGAAGTACACAAAGAATGTAAAGCAATTGGAAAAGCACCAGGAGGATGAAGGTACATCAAACTGATTTTCCGCTGCCATGCGAGTGCGAGCTAGGGATATTACGAGATTATCCGCGTCTAAGCGAACTAGAACCGGCGACCTATGGATCCAGTAGTTGTGGTGCTCGCTGAACCGGGCATTTAGGTTGCAAACGTTTCGTCACCAGTCGAGGTGACATCATCAGTGTCGAAAGGTCAGCGATTTCGTGGCAGCTGATGAAAAGCGGATTACAAATCAGACCCCGGAACCACTCGGTTACCGGTCGTAAACATCACAAAACAGAAGAAGTGGCATTTTTCACCGTAATTTGATCACTCAGGGAACTGGACCAAAGTGGTCAGCATATGGAGGTCCTATAGAAACCTTAGCGTACATTGCTTTCCCGTTGTCAGTAGTGCAGTATGAACTCAACTTTCCCATGCATCCTGTTTCGGATATATCTGATGAGCTTTGACATAATGGTAAACACAGTTAAACCACACAGTATTATAATAAATCAAAACGCAGTGTGGTTTCCTCAAAGTTACATCATTTTTTGAAAGAAAGCCAGTCACTATATGCTTCGCTTTTTATCACAAACGTAACTGAACAGGTTAGCTTAGACGCATTCAAAATCCTGATTGCGACATGTGCAATGGTAAGTACAGGCGTGATGCGTGCCTCTTTATGTAGACAAGTGGAGAAAGGGTTTGCACAAAAACGGTCAAGGTCAATCCGTTGACGTTGATCTGTGGGGACATATTGTACGAAATAAAAACCGTGTGCGTAACCACTGAGGAGCGGAACGAAAACGCACCGGCACAGACAGAGAACTAACTGTATCTTTTGCGGTGCAGTGATTGTGGGTCAGAAGAAATCCATAAATTGTGAATTCCCACCACTTACACATTGTTATGTGAACAAGGGATTTGTCCGACGACCATTTCACATATATATTTATATTTAACACATATTCAACACATGAGTAACAACAATAAATAGGAGAAAGACAGTCAGGGGAAGGGATGCAAAGATCCATGTGTTGTGTGGGCAGAAATCTTCCCGGATGCCCAGATCGAGGAAGAAGGTGGACTTAAGGGACCCCACCCTGAACCCTTGGTCTTAAAGACCTGACGCAAAATGCAGTGGGGCGAATACGAAGACGGTTGACAGCCAGATGGCTCATTCGCCCTCTGTTACAGTTACAGGAGTGGTGAGTGACCCTATAGCCGGTCACATTGGTTTTGACACAGCGCCGTACGAGCTCTTGTGGTATTTGATGGAGAACCAGGTGACCAGCCCAGAACCCCGCACACTCTGAGACGCTGCCGCTTATTGTCCGCGACTGCCTATTCATCTCGCTTGCAAAGTAGATGAGACTTATTCGCAGTTACCTCAAGAAGAAAGGCATTTCTCAATCAGTAACCTGGGGACGCGCCTGATAGCGTACGGCTCCGCCACGGGGACCATTACACAACAAAACTTTACATGGTCAAGTTATAGAGGTTAAGTTAATTAGGACTGCAATAGCCCGTGGTCAACATACTACTTACAGAGATGGTCAATATACAGTGGTCTGGTTCCATAGGGTTTACATGATGAACGTTCAAAGTTATGGAAAAATGACGGTCACCTTAGAGAAGTGGCCAACTTAGGAGGAATGCGTCTAAAAGTCTGTCACCCATAAACATCAATCAGTCTGAGTTAACTTTTGAACAGAGGGATTTCGTACGAACAGTCAACTTCCAACCTCAAAACTGCCGCAAAATTGACTGGTTTCTATGGCATTCTTTACCCTTGGTTACAAGTGGATAAAACTTGTCTCACGGCACTGTGGATAAAGTGAGCGAAGATAATAAATAAGAAAACGACCGGGAGTTGGCGATCTGGAGAACTCACCAACAGCTGCGTTTTTCAGACCACCCAGCTTTTTCTTCTTTGGTTTTCCTTCCACGTAGACAACTTCGTACGGCTGGCCGTTTGAGGATACAAATTGTTGACCTGCAGCAGGTGGGTGGTAGTAGCCCGCTTGCCCAGGGGGTGGTGGTGGGGGCTGCTGTGGGTAGGCCGAGGGGCCCGGGCAGTACGCAGGTTGAGAAGCGGGTGCCATAGGTGGTGCACCGTACTGACCAGACCCGTAACCACCGTATGGCGGCGGTGGAGCCGAATCGTACGGTTGGGGCATTCCTGCGAAGAGAAAAAAAGACGTTTGCCCATATATGACAGCGGGAAACCAAAGGCAGAGTACTGGAACAAAACGAGTTTATCGGGATAAAGAAGTTTTGCTATCCTCAGGCAACTATGTCGAGCCTACCACTCTAGGAATCGTTCGGATGAGCAGAAACGTAATGCACAAGTTTTTTGAAGGGTGTGGGTAAAACCCAACACAACGTGTAGAATATAAGGAAGCACGGATCTCCAAAGTGAAGAGAGATGGGGCATGCGGCGGTAAATTGTGTGTACCTAACAAAAACCGACAAATAGCGATGGCCTAAGAAAGGTACAGGTGTGAGTTCATCGACGCAGTTGAAGCATGGGATGAGGAAAATAGGCGATCAGGGAAACATAAACAAAAGGAGGTCACCTGAAATCGGAGGATGTGCACAAAAGTCCTGGGGACAACACAGCAGACTGAAGCAACAATGACTACGTAGGTGAAATCATAAACTCGTTCGTACGAGGAGTCAAAAAGTGGCAGAACGATAAAGTCCTAGGCGATCTTGAAGGGCGTTCAAAATAGTTGACAAGCACACGTGAAACTGATAGCCGCGAAAAATGTTTGCAGAGAGTGAACTGGTTGGGGAAACCAGTAGCAGAACAGTGGCGATGGGAGTGGACAATATTATTCGGCGGGTTTATTTTTTACATCGGCCGTTGCGTTTTCGTCCAACATCCAGGAATAAGCTGGCAGATATTTTCTTAAATCAACGTCCAGAGTCACTGAGACCAATCTACTCAAACCACACTTTGTATATGAATGCTGAGATATATAGCGCAGGATCTCCGATCTTTGGACACAAAATTTTACCTTAACTGTAACTAGCCATGAAGAAACGTTTGAATGGAACTTTGCCCTTTTGAACGGATGCAAATCCCGAAGATATAGTGCAGCGTTATGCGGTCGTTTCTAGATCGAGTTATGACAGTGCGCCCTACTTATTTCTCTGCCCATTTGTAACGTTTAGCATTGTTGATGGTGCTCGTTCAGCAAAATTTACAGTTGATAGGGGAAAATGCTGAAAATGCACCCATTTGGTGTTACATAAAATTTATGCTGACTTGAATGGAAAAAATTCACCACGAGCAGCACGGAGGCACCTAGTTATAGGAAGACAGGAATGAATGCATCTCGTTAACTCGTAAGGGAACAATGCATGGTATTTCAATGGTAGCATTAGAACCCCGTACACGCTGCGGTGGTTAGCAGACCGGTGGTCTAGTTTGCATGAGTATATCACCTCACGGTGTGACACTTCTAGTAAATCGTCGCAGATTCGTGATTGCGTGTTCGTGCTGAAAACACCGGTGTTGGAAGAACCAACGATTGATCAGCGAACTATACGTCGGCTAAAGCTCGACGGTCTACTGGAAAAGATCATCGGTCAGTGCGGTCCTACTCGCGTCCCTTCCGCCGATCGGACAACTGGACAATGGTTAGTGACCGTACTTGCATGTGATATATGCTTGTCACTTTTTAACTTACTAGATGCACTGAACGTAGTTGCACAATGGAAAATGTTACCATCCCACAGGCCCCGATTCGACTCTGTGGTGTATAATCAGACACCGGCGCCCCTAGAAGGTTCTTCTTTTGTAGGTCCTGCCTTTACTTTGTGGTTGGGCTAGTGTTATTTCGATGTAGCACGCGTGTCAGTGAATGTGTATACCAGTTCATGCTGCGCTCAATTATCGGGCGACAGTAGGTCTCCGCTAGCCTTGAATAGTTGCAGTGTCGTCACTGCAAAACTTGTCCATTCAACAGTCGGGGACCGTCCGTAACAGCAGGGTAGAATATCTACAGTGCCGTTACTACGCGGAGTACATAAGGATTGAGGGTTATATCTTACCCAACAACGCATTCAACTTACTGATTATCTGACAGATGAGTCCGTGTGGTGAATATCCGTTTCGGATAGAATGCAAACAGCACCCGACTCACAAGAGAATTTAACGTGCGTGCTCAGATTAGGAGATGTCAAAGATGACCCACTAGCACCGAGGGGCAAATTGGGCAAACAAGACAGTAGTGAACAAACAATCAGCCAGTCCGCCGCACATCGCTGCACGCGTACAGATTCGTGCGAAATCCGTAACAGATAAGATAAAAGCAAACGTCGGAATTAGAATAGTGTGGTAATGATAGTGTCCATCATATTAAACCTTGAGGTGTCTATTCGTTACAATATGGTATCAACGTAGACGAGCATTTTCGATACCAACGAAATCGACCGCACACAGTGAGTAACCAGATAAAAACGTGACAACCCACCCGTGAAGCCGATTTGTCCAGGTACTCCTGCACTTGGCATGTATGATGGAAGCGATTGCACGGATTGTGGTGCAGAAGGTTGATACGGTCTATTCTGAATCTGGAATTAGAAAGACAAACAGTGTACGAGGAAATGGCACGGCAAGCGCAGCCGATGATAACGCAAAAGCTCGAAATGAATGGGGTCATGTGACCAGGAGAAAGAAGAATCAATGGGGTCAAGAGCTGTCCAACTCAGAGCGGCTCGGGAAGATGCAGCGGAAGGCCACGCTCAAAGACCTGAGTGGGAGGGGGAACACCACAAAAAAGCACACCTGGGAGTAGGTTATCGTCAAGCAAAAAGCAAGGCTCGCCGTGCGCACTTAGGCATACAAAGTTAGGGATCGGATATTGGCGGCTCGTTTCTAGCCAGAATGTAGGCAGAGCGCGATTGAGAGATAACTAGGTTGTAAAAGTCGGTGCCAAAAATCGTGGCATTTCATTTTCATATAAATGCATTGATCATTCAGCAGCGGTCAGTGAACAGCCACTGGAAATAGTGGATCGGCTCACTTACCTTGGCAGCTGTCACCTCTGGTAGTCACATCACTGCAGTTACTCCGCAGATCACACTAAACCATTTATGAAGACGGCAGGAAATCAGCCTGTCAGTGAAAGGTAGGAGGTACAACGTTGTGATTAGGCCAGTGTTACAGTGTAGATCAGAGACCTGACCAGTTCACAGTGAAGACATTAAATGATAGGCTGTTTGATCACCGAATCTTGCGAACCACTGCCCACATCTGACGGGTACACCGGATGAGCAATGCTGAGGTCCGTCAGTTTATGTTTGGCAAGAATCCTTCCGGTGCTTCACTCGCGTTTGTATAAGCTCAACCGCTTACGCTGGCTAGGTCATGTCCTCCGTATACCCGCTGACTGACTTCCTCCGCGTGTATTACACACCTTTGTTGCACCGATCGGCGAAACCGCGAGGTGGCCAGTTGATGAGGTAGCATAGAGGGATGAAGAGATTGACTGGCTGGTGTGTGCCGTTTTCGCCGTTGGGGGCCCCGAGGTGGTCTACGCCAGTGGTTGGAGACTCTATCAGCCACGACGCAGTCGTGCAGTCAGTGGCGTTCCTGGACCCGGTTTCTTACAGCTAGTTGTTAAGCCACATGCCATATTATTTTGCTGTTTTCTGTTCTGACTCCATTTTCTTTGTACTTTATTTGTGTCCAACTTTATTTACCTACCGTTGTTATTTGGTCGATGTGATTCGGGATAAATGGGCCCATTGCCCTTCAGTGCCCAGTGGTCATAGTTGTTCAAATAATCATTAACAAGGGCAGTACATCAGCAATTAGTACTGATGCTTCGCTGCCATACAAGCATCATGACCTATGAAATAAATAAGAATAACAGGCAGAGAAAGGGGTTTACCTGAAAACCTTAATGCCCTAAGCAAACATTCAGAGTCAAGGCGCCTACACCTTGTCGACAACATACCGTCACAAACTACTGGCTATCGGCGAGACAGCTTCCTTGCAGCTTTCACTGTCCCGTGTCGTAATCAGCCAGTACCCCGCAGATAACTCAGCACCAAACACAAATTAAACAGACAATCCGATTAGGAGACGGCAGCAGACGCGCCACTGGTGTGTACTGCGAGCCATGTCCTGAAATGTCTCGAGCCAATCACAAGACGGATCATGTAGACTGCAGCCAAGAAGGCGAGAAGGATCAACGGTACCCAGTTTGGTCATCAGTGACTTCATTTCCCGTTGCCAAGTCAACTTCTGTCCACCTCGAGCATTGCGCCATCCTACATCTGGCAGAATAAACAAGGCCCTCCTAGGTAAGCGGTGACCAGGCATACGTAGCACGTGCCCGAGCCAACGCATCTTATTCAGTGCTATCTGTTGTTCTAGGGAGCTAGCATGATTATCACCACCTAGTACTCGCCTACGCACATCATCGTTGCGGACACACTGTTGCCATCCGACATTAGCAACGCTTCACAGAGAAGGACGATCAAAGTCTTGAAGGCGCCTCAGGCCTTCATACCGAAGGGGCCAAGTTTCACTACCATAAAGCAGAACGACCCTCACTGTGGTTCTGTATACACGGCCTTTCAGACGGAGGGAAACTCCCTTCTGTCGCCAAAGATGCCGCAGGTTCAAGAAGGCAGCCCTGGCCTTTGCAATCCGTGAGCTGACGCCAGTTTCTATGCGCCCATCGTTGCTGATGCAGCTGCCAAGATAAGTGAATTGATCAACTACCTCGAGTTCCTCGTTAGCAAGTGTCAAGGGGTCATAAAGTGGCTGGTGGTTCTGCAACAACAATCTGCACTTTGAAGGTGCGAAGTGCATGCAAATAATGGGACCACTCTAGACTGGCTATTCAGATGATTGTGCTGCCGCAACATCGTTGAAAAGCAAGATGATATCGTCCGCATAATCAAGATCAACTAATCTTTCACCAGGCAGCACTTCAACCGCTACATTGTGAGGGAGTGTTCAAACGTATCTCAACGTGCATCCAACGTTATACTCTGACTAAGTACACGGGTCGGTAGTTTTGAAAACGACTGCAAGTCAACGATATAATAGATGGATGGTGTACCTCGCATAGTGCAAATGTGTAGAAACGATCGTTGTCTATGTTAACTAGTTGGTATCGACAGCGGAACGCGGTATGGTTGCACCGGTGCAGCACCAGACTAACGTTCTGAACACGAAGCGTCACTCCCGAGCACGACTGCGAGTGGTGATCGTTAGTGATCTGCATGGTTTAGGTCGCAGGATAGTGCGGATCTATTGGAAGTGCGACGCGCTTTCAGATGACTGAATTGTAACGGACTACAAGATGGACACGGAACCATTAAAAACCATATAATAAACGTAAATCTTTGGCGGCATCCGGTTTCGGATTTCCTTGTCACTGCGGCCTCCACGGGGACAGCCACAAGACGCATGCGTCTACAGAGGGATTGTGGATGGCATGCGCTGCACCATTCACAGCTCCATCCACATACACCCTATATCCAGTGTAAACCGGAAGAAATAAGTGGTATGTGGATGTGAGTCACGTATCATCAACGGACCCGGTCCACGGTCCTTCAACACACAGAGCGAAATCATTCATGCGTACCAGAGGTACACAAGGCGGTGGCTAAACCGTAGTCCGCTCCGCACTGGATGGAATCATTCTTCGAACCTAGTACGGCCAAGAGGACTGTGCCCTCGTTCCCCAGCAACGACCAACTGTCTCTTGGAGCCAGTACTCGAGGTGGAGGGTGTTAGACACGTAGGCACCTTGAGAACATTCACATCAAGTGCAGCCATACCGGAGAAATCAAACAACCAACGTAGAATTTGAGGAAAGGTAACCACGCAAAGTTGACACGGAATATTGCAGCAGAAGAACAGAACTGAACAAATCGATTATGTGGTAACGTTTAGCCGGGGTAAAAAAAGAGCTAGTTTAGCCCAATTGCGGTGACAAAGCATCGTGTATGCGACATCAACCTCAACATGAGACCATACAGAAAATTAGGTAACTTCGCGTTTTTCACAAGCCATTTTGCCAGTTTACTGATTGCGATCTTGATCAGTCAAATCAAGCATAAATTCGGACATCTATTCTATTGAGCCAGACTTTGGGCCATGTCATCAGAGGTTTTCAATCAGTGGTGTTCATCACCCTTGAATCCCCAGCTCTAGGAATACGTACAGGATTGACGATAGTCAAACTAGAAGTCACAGCTTTGGTAGGTTGATCAACGCGCTATTGCTTTCATTCCAGTCTGGTGCGAGCGAACAAAGTGTGACGTGGTAATCGCTCGCACTGCAAGCGTGGGGCCTGACTAAGCCATTTTAATCGTCGCAGCGACGAGACTAACTTGTAAAGGAGAAGGCCCGTAGTAGCTGAGACTGCTTCAGTCGTAAAATGATAATTGTGAGCGTTGTTTACGCTCCAGTACATTCGAGTCATTTCTGTGAGTCATAGTGCTCGCGTGCTCGCGTGCTTCAAAGTAATGTGGGGAAGAAATCAGGTAGCAGGTGACGTGAAACAGAATAATTTGAATATGAGACGCGTGGGTGTCACAGTACAGGTGAATTCGGAGTCACATGTCAATGAACAGGCACATTTCTCCAGCACCGAGGACGATTCGTGTACAGATGTTTAACACATCGCACTCCGCGATGCCATAGCAACACAGGTGTTGTGAATGATGCAATCTCTTTGGGTGTTCTTGTGACTCCGTCAGTCAAATCAGACCATGAAACGATAACGTGTGCTCTGTCGTATGCGCGAACCAGTGAAATGATGGCCACTGGGACACGAGGAAAGGTAGATCAACAAGACGAAACCGAGAGGAACGCCTCACACTCGGCCTCCGCGTGCGCCACCAGTATGTACAAATGTGTGTGTGTGTGTGCGTACGTGTGGCGTATACTGCGCGAAGAGCAAGACAGAGTGTGAGGCCACCGAACTAAGGTTCGCGTGAAAGATAGGAACGAAAAATTATTACGTATATGTCGTATAGTAGTCGTGACTCTGAGACCATAGACCAATGAGGAAATCAGTCTAACTCATGGACTGTAGTGAAATCTTTGTCACCTTCGAAACGAGGATAGCAATCGATGCTGGAAACGTACTCCGCACATATGGTGGACAAGCAGCAATGCACATCGAAAGGAGTGAGTATACGTACACATACCCTATTTGATTGTGTATTGGCGGCTGTAGTGCACATCGACTGAATATTTTGCGCCACTACTAGATAATAAGTAAATTTCGCATGGACATCAGCATCAAACTCAACTGATGCTACACTGTGCTCTCCTGTTCTTGCGCCTCTGACCCCTGAAACTCCATCACACGCTGACTGTTCATATGTCAACAATCAGCGTTTTCCATTAACCGTATCAATCGTTCCAACTCTTGAAAATAAAGGCGTGGTAGAAAAAATGTTCTATCTCCCCTTCGTGACTATGGTAGCTCACGACTCCCGCTTAGTTTCATGGGTTCGGACGGATCTATGTCTATCCTAAAGACTTGCTATATTCTTTGCCCCTTACCATCTCGCTTGGATTTTCCCTCCAACCGCGATTCCATTCTCTACACATAGTAGAAATAAAGCATACCGCTGTTTAATTCGTTACTGCCATCGAAGTGAGTTGCATTGCGATACAATGACCGAGGCGTTTCTCAACTCCAGTCAAGACGTATAAAGAGAGGAGGATAAACCCTACTAATTAACTGGAAGACACACAAGCAATGCCTTGTGGAACGTGCATGGAGGGAAGAGCAGATGTTATTCGAACTTAAAAATGCCCTTTGCTGCCACTGGTGAAGGAAGAAAGTAATGTGCTAACATTTAAAATGTCCGTAAGGCAACTGCCTGGATTCTGCTCAATCACTCTGTCGTTTACATCCCGGAACCAAACGAGGCCGAAAAGCGTTGCGGCTTTCGTTCGCACTGCAGTACGATAGATATTGTGACCGCGGCTCATCAGCCGCGTGATAAGTTTAGTGGGCGAAAGTAAGAATGTGAATATTTTGCGACCGCAAAAGATCATACCCGTGCGAACACAAGTTACCATAGGTGAAATGTGGTGTTTCTAGTTTGTTGACCAGGTGCTGGTTGATTTGGCGCGGGTGGTAGCTAGCCAATGAGTGAGGGTAATGTTGGGCCAACCTCAGAGGTGACTTGTGGTGCTCGTGCACTAAACCAGTCGAGGTGAGCTCGTAGCTTGTAACTAGTTTTTACCATGATTAGGATTTAAGTGAAGTAGATGGTGGACCTATCTAAAACCTAGGAAGAGCATGAATTCGAGACGCAGTTTGCCAATCCTGCAGTAAAAGGCCGGTCTAATGTGTAGTTCTGGAGGCAGTTCGAAAGTGACATCGGGCGCAAATAAGCGCACCACATTAGGATTGTCGGCCGGTGGCCGAGTGGTCTGCACGTTTGCTTTGCAACCATAAGGTCACCGGTTCGAATCCGCGTAGGGGTGGGCGTCCTCGCGGTATACTCAGCCCACGCGCGACGGGTGGTTGTCGCGCGGCAGCGAAGCGCCGTTACCCCATACAGCTGACACATTATTATTATTATTATTATTATTATTATTTTTATTTTTATTATTATTATTATTAGGATCCAATCTCCAGATGTTGGTAGTTTGATACATGGCAGATCGGTACCTCAAGCATAGTCGAAAATGGGTGCGAATGGGAGGAGTCGCAGATTAGGCACTCTTGTTGACTTAGTTGTGATAACTGCAACCATGCTCATGATGTGTCTGAGAAATGTACCAGATTAATCGTGGCGCAGTGTCGGAAGTAACTCTGTTCAGTCTTGCAGCGCTTCAAACCAATTTCCAGTTGCAGTCCAATCTGCTATGGTGGCTAGCTGTCTAAGGTGATCACTTGTCTATTGTGAACAGCCAAAGACATCCCCAACGTTTTCTTCTATGAGTAATGTCCCTATACTTGAACCTGTCCATAGCGAGCACCTGTCCAACGCGACGACTTTTTGTGGGGCTTTGAATGACCGCTTTAGAAAGGTATGACAGTACAAATCCACTATCGCCCAAAATAACGGCTACAACCGAGGCTGAACTATTTGTTTGTCCTTATGAAACAGTCGAAAAGCAACAAGAAAAGTAGGTAAGATTAACATAGTACGAAGTCAGTTTTAACGGACCTTAACAGCTCATCTTCATTAGATCAACACGTCTCTCGGTGTTGCTTGAAACTGTCATATAAGGCGCTCAGTTGCTGGTTCCTACACTGATTGGACAAGTGGATGGACTATCTGTCGTGAATAGTGAGAGGTATGTTTGGATACATCCGGTGCTGGATTTGCCTGCCATTTCAGCCTCAATATGGACAGCCACAGGACGCCAGTGACTTGTGCTGCAACACCCACGGATCCAGAGAGTTTTACAATCACCGATAAGGCTATATAAAGCATGGAGCCTATTGGGACAACTCAAATCGTTAAGATGGTGATCGAGAAAATCACATAGTAAGTCGTTGCATGCAGGGAAAACAGTACTCTTCTCCACAGAGTTCTGATAAATAGACAGAGCAAGTAAGAACCGCGCCGGCTTCAACGCCTATGACCCAAGAGTAGCACCGTAGCTGCTGGTAATCGGTGTCGTCCACAAGTAAATTTCCAACAGGGAATCCCCAAGAGTCTAGCGACAAAGACAGTTTGTGAAAGGACTTAAGCAGAAACTTCGGGTCATATTTTCGAAGTCACTGTCGAAAAACACCCGCTTATGCAAAATGTCAGCATACGTTCGTTATGTGGTTAGGGAATGTTTGAAATTATACAAAAGAAAAGGGAGATACGCACTTCTGGAACCACCAGTGGAACACACTGCCATTTGAGTACATGTTCTCTAAGATCAGAAGTTTGGCAAATTGAAATCAGGTAGATCAAGTTTGAATACTTCTAGAGTCAGTAGGTATTACGTTCAAAAAGGGAAGGCAAACACAATGAATCACATTGCTACAGGGTTTGTGTAAGTGGCGTCCAAACAATGCTCGTTACACACATCACCTAGGTTATGTGCTACAGCAATTTGGGCGTCTGACGTCTGTATTCAGTCTGTCAAGGGGTTCTACGATAAGACATGCAGTCATAAGCTAGCGACTAGTGCGGCAAGCGGAGATTAAATTAGTTAACCTGTTAGTTTGAAACCATGAAAAAGAAGCGAAATGAAAAACAATATTACCAGTGCAGCACAGAGCGCAGATACTCACCAGAGATGTAATGGCATTCATCCATTCGCTAAACAGAGCAATAAAATGGGTGTGAAAAGATGGCATTGCATTAATCTACATGTTATAAGGAAGAATGTAGTAAATGAATTCCTGTGAATGTCCAGAATAACAAAAGAATGCCAAACGGCCTAGTTCACTCTGGGCCCCTGTGTCCAAGGTCGGAATATTATAACCAAGAGAAATCCCAAGACAGAGAATAGCCAAAGGCACGAAACAGTCACCCATGTGCAGACATCAGTGACTAACGAAAAACGATGGGCGACTAGTGCTAGTCCACACCACAGGTGGGATATGATGGGAATGGACATTAAAGTTCTGGAGACAGTCCTTAGTTTGATGTACTGCGGGAGAAAAGATAGCCTCTCAGACTATAAAAAAAGATTGTAAAGATCAATCAGGTCCCAGGTTCGAGACAGCGTAGGTGAACGCGATCATTCAGTAAAGCTAACTACTCACACGCGACTAACTGTGATCGCGAGACAGCAAAGCATCGGTATGAGATATCGGTGTACTGTTAATACCTCGCTAGGCGATCGGCCTAGAATGTCGGTTAATGTGAAAAGGATTTTGCCACAAAAAGTCGCAGAGACGCAAAGAGTCCAGCATAAATAAGGGTTCACGGTTAGTCAGAATAACTCACCGCAAACATAAATGTGTCCGTGTTGATGGGACTAAATGTGAGATCAAAAACAACGCGGTAGATGACATAGTTCAGACTCTGTTACATGAAGAACGCTCGAGTCCCTCAGACTCGATGAAGAATCAGGCTAAGTGGGGGAACAGAGAAAACGTCGTGAATATTGCTGCCGTCGTAGGACGGACGAGTTGACTTTAGCAAATAAACTCATTTTTACGCAGCTAGGGTGTATTAAGAACATAAGTCAAAGTATGGGCCTGATAAAAGCTCCCAAACATCTGAGTGTAAAAGTGTGGTATCACAGTACATCTGCCCACGTCACTTGTCAGATCGAATCAAATCAAGTGGTGAACTGAGAGCTGAGTAACGGAATGCGGAGATCCAATATACAGGAATAGCGTCGCACCATCAATCAAGTATGACCGGCTTGTTAACCACTATCTGCTCATCGAGATGCGGTGGATCCATTAACCTTGGACAAATCTATAAAATAACTCAATTTGTACTATGAGGGACGGCAAGAATTAAACTCGTCAAGTGGAGTAATTAACAGGGATGAAAAAGGTAATGATTGCAACAAGGCCAATGACTGCGGTAGAGACAGATAAGATGAGGCATCCAAAGGCCGATGTGGACGATCGCGGTGACCTCACTAAGGAGGACGGCAAGCATCAATCTGAGATTTCGCTGTTATTGACCAGACAGTTCGTGTACACCCAATAAAGCGTGATGTCGGCAAACAACACATTGAGTGAGGACTTGTAGGAACGCATTGCACATGAGGTGTTTGCGGAATAATAGCTGAGGTGTTTTCCACCTGCAGCTAAGATGTATTATAATGAATGAATAGCATATGATTGGGCCAAACGGCGCGATTTGATTTGGAGAGCTACCACAACGAGGCACCGGAGAGTTTATTTGCAAGCAATATATGACGAACGTTAGTAGAACTCACCCAGCTTCCCAATTAGTCATAATCAATACCTCGAAGGCATCCGTGGCCAACCACAGTCAAACTCTTTGTGTCCTCAGTGCTGAGCAACCAGGTTTCTGATTAATAAAGTAACACTGGTCGCACCAATGTGATGTGCATTGTTTCCGTTACATCTCGACACTTCCGTAAACGTCTAAGACGTTGAAAAGCCTCAAAAGCTTAGTAATGAGTGAGGAAATTTACTCAACAAGGCGAACTGGAGGTGATACAGTTACCCAGATAAATTAACAGGTTGGTTGTTCTAAGACAGTGTCGGTCGTACGTTACAATTCGAAAGCATCTAGAGCATTCCGATATGTGAAGTGACACGCGTCCGCCTAATCTGTAGCAATCGCACAGCAGCTGGTTCAGAACCAAGGTCGCCCACATATTGTGTGATCGATGGCAGGCCACCAAACATGGCCTATTCCCCAGGACATTGTAAGGAGGCACTCGTGATCATCTGAGTCAAAGACAAACAGATAGGGAGGAATGGCGGAACACTAAAGTACTTCACTTACCGTGGGGTACTAAGAGAAAACCGTTCATAGAAACCTGCAGCCCCCGGTAGCCGTCCTATGGGACTTTCAGGATAGAAAGAAATTGATTGAGTTTTTCAAGTCAAATCGCCGGCCCGTAGCCTAAAGCTAACAAGCTTGTCTTGCAATATGACGGCGCGGGCTCGAGCCTGCGTAGGGACTGGGCGACCCTCGCAGTATCCTTAGCCCACGCACGACCGGTGGTGGTGGCGCGGTAGCGAAGCGTCGTTACTGCATACCGACGTACTGCTGATGCCGCTTTCAAATTCAGGAACCATCGCTAAAAGGAGCGACTTACCGACTCAGGCAGTTCCAAAGCGGGGAAAACGACCATGATAAGCTGTTTGTAGATGTGATGACAGTGAAAAACCAGAAAACAGTAAAGACACCGTCAATGCACATTATAGCACGGTAGGGACCAGCCATCGTCATTATCAACAACAACAGTACATCAGCCATTTAAACAGATGCTTCGCTAGCATACAACCACAACGACCAACGGAACGAGGAATAATAAGGGGGGAGAAGGGAGGCTTACCGGAAAAGCTTAACACCCTAAGCAAACATTCAGAGTCAAGGCGCCTACACCTTGTCAAGAACATACCGTCGCAAACAGCTGGCGATTGCGCAAAGATAAGGCGGCATCAGCGAGACAGATTCTTTGCGGCTTCCAATGCCCCGCGTTATAATCAGCCATTACCCCGCAGATAACTCAGCACCAAATACATTTTAAACAGGTAGTCTGGATAGGATACGACAGCAGACAAGCCACCGGTACCGACTGCAAACCATTCATGTAACGACTCGAGCCAAGCACAAAGCAAGTCACGTGGACTCCAGCCTGGAAGGCGAGACGGACTGACAGCACCGAGCACACGTCATCATCATCATTACACATGAACTGAAGTTGAGAAACACACTTCAACTATTGTGCCGCAATACATAAAGACATAAAAGAGAGCTGCGCTCAAGCCAACGCAACATATTCAGTGCTACCTGTTGCTCTAAGGAACTAGCTTATCACTGCCTAGCACTCTCCTACACTCATCACCGTTGCGGACACGCTGGTGCCACTGGATCGAAGGGGCCAAGTTTCCCTACCATAGAGTAGCACGGCCCTCACTAGGACCTTTTAAAGATGGTCTTTTGGATCGAGGGGAACTGTTTTTTGACGCCAAAGATGTCGCAGACAGCTCTGGATTTCGTAGTATGTGAATTGACTTCAGTGCTTATGCGCCGATCCTTGATGATGCATCTGCCCAGTTAAGTGAATTGATAAACCATTTTGAGTTGCTCGTTATCAAGAGTCAATGGGTCATCAAGTGGCTGGTGATCCTGCAGCAACACTGCACTTTGAAGGTGCAAAGTGCACGTCAAATGATGGGACCATTCTTGAAAGGTTACTCAGGGTTGATCGTCCCGGGCCAATATCGTTAAGAAAGACAACATTGTCTGTATGATCGAGATCAACTAGTCTTGCACCAGGCAACACCCGGACACCTGCATCGTGATATTCCGCAAGGAAAAACTCCATGATGGAGTCCACAACGAAACTGGGCAACCATGACGAAGGCCACATGCAGTCGGAAAGATATGAGATAAGTCACCGCAGACACTGACGCGGCCCGTGGTGTTCGAGTATAGAGGACGTAAAATGTTCAAATATTTCAGGTGAACACCTCTCCGAGTAACTATCTCGTACAGATCGGATCGATCGACTGAGGCGAAAGCACCCTTAAAGTTGAGGAGCAAAGCTATTGTGGACATGTGGTACGTGCGGCGCTACTCTAGCAACTGCCGCAAAATGAAAATATATGGTCTATACAGTCGCATCCTGGTCGGAAGCCTGCCTGCTCTTTCCTAATCCGTGATTCTCGCTCTGCAGTGAGGCGACGAACGAGAATTGAGGAAAGTAATATTTTCACAATTAGTATTAGGATAATATCGCCAATATAACCGATTGACTCTAGTTATCCGGAATGGTCGCTTCCTTTAAGATCTGTACGAACAGGGTCAACGCTTTGCAGAGGACCACACTACCATCCTTAAGTAATGCGGTGCGAGCGAATCTGAAACAGAAGCACGAAAACGACTGAACGGTTTTGATCGCGATTCGGATCTCAGTTTCTGACAGAGCATCTAAAGTCACCGGTCATGGAAGAGATCGAGAAACTGAGGGAACAACTGGATTGACCTTGAAAGTGTTCTGCCCAAGGAACCATACGACGTTCCCTACTGTGAATAATGGCACCCGCGCTGTCTCTGGTTGTCCCACTAACGCCTGATTTCCTGGGACCAGTGGCGGGGATCAGCTGGAAGAGCTGGCGATAATGACCTACTGCCCTTGGTTCCTCCATTTCTTGACCCCTACTAGTCCATCAAGCTTCCTGTCAGTGCGCAGGCTACGCTTAAGTTCGCGCCTAATAATTCATCTGGTCACGTTGCGCTCAGAGCCAGGTTGGATTAAAACAATTTCACCGACCTCTCGATTATCCGGTAACTGGTGCGGTGATGACTAAAAGTACCACAAACAGAGGCTCCTGCATCATGCTTGGAGGTCGAGATCCTATTCCACAAGCACAATGTCATACGGACAAGAGAGCGAAAGTAAGATACGCAGCGAATCCTGGTAGGTTAACCTGAGAAAAGGCTAGGATAACTTCTCAGTTGACATCCAAGGAAGACGCTTGGTATGCCACCCGGTAATGTTCATGGAAAAATGATAGCGTACCAATGCATGGTCATAGTTAACGCAAGTACTCTAGAAGGACCGACAGTCCAGGATGGAACCACGAGAACTGTAACACGACAATGTGATCTATTTGGGTCCATCGCTGGCGAGCTACAGGTTGCCAAAT